GTATGCCCTTTAACAACTACATCACGCTGGCTCCCCGCTCTCTGTACTCACGCTGCAATACCAATACCGCCATCCACAGCTCTCCGACTAAAGGAGCCTTGCGTGGGATACACTGAAACACACTGAGCTCTCAAATGATTTTGTTTTGTGTTCGTCTTGGTAGTCTGTCTGAAATAGTTTGCCTTTGTCAAGCACAAGAACTTCAAATTATCCTTCAAGACTTGGTTCAGTTGTCACCTGTCCTAGCTCACCTTTCTCCTCCCCGCTTCGCAGAGTTAATTGCTTGTCTGTGTTCCCTTAACACTTATCTCACGTCTCACTTACAGCACTTATCACATTGTCTCATAATGTGTTTATGTCTCCACTGCTAGATGTGAACTTTGTTACAGTTAAAGTGAAGTTTGTTTGTTTTTAAGATACCAGACTCTGCTGAGGGTACCACCAGTATGCACTCAATATGTCTTCTCAGTAACTCTAGGACACAGGTATACAGCAGTGCTGCTGAACCTATGGCATGCGTGCACCAGCAGTTTCTCATCACTGAAAGCTCTAAAAGGTTTGCCATCACTGGTATATACTATTTCTTTCCTTTTTTATTGATGAGGCATAGAGAGGTTAATTTTCTAGAACCTATACGCGATAGGCACAAAGTAGGTGATTATTGAATTAAACTCCATCTAAATAAAAGTTCTTACTAAACATAACCAAAAATTGCTCTTCTCACTGGAGAAAATGAACTTTGTCCATGGTTTTGGAGGACGGAGAAAAGAACAAACTTCTCTTTCATCTATTTAGTCAGAGTTTTTCTTTCTTAAAGCTATGAAAATAAGCAAGTAATGAACTTTAACTAGTTCAAGCTCAAGTACCAATTCAGTTTTTACACTTTAATATTATAATCACTTTCTATGTATTATAATAAATGATTTGCTATCCTATCCTATGATCTTGAATACCCACCTATGTTAAATATTAAAGTATTTTACTGCCTTTTCAAAATGCCATAAACCAAGACACACATCACAGCATCAGCTTTAATATTTGTGGCAAGAACTTATTATTTGCTAAATTCGGCTGGAGGAAAAGAAACTGCATCTGCTTTGTTTTTTTGTTTGTTTGTTTGTTTGTTTGTTTTGGTACCAGAGATCAAACTGAGGACCTTGTGCTTGCGAGGCAGGAGCAGGCACCACTGAGCTAAATAACCAGCCCTGCATCTGCTTTTAAGACAAACTCTGAGGCCTGTCTTTCTGAAAATGTCCTGCAGCACCAGAAAGAGCTAGGGGCTGGTTGTGAGGGCCAGGTTTGAATAGTTCCAAGCTTCAAACACCTGCGGCTCTTGGTGGACCTTTTATCTATCAAGACTCAGAAGGAAATACATTCACTGGCTTTCTTCTGGGGGCTTTTTAGGTTCCACTACTTGTATTAACTCTTTAGAATGGTGAAAGAAAAGCTGACTTTAAAAGCCTTTTAACCCAGAGGGTTCAAGCAGCTAATGGACATTATCCTCTTAGGGGGGAAAAAGGCAATGTAAATGTTCCTTCCTCATTTTAAAACCCATCAAGTTTATGTAATATTTTATAAAGTTAAAGCCTTTTGGTTTTATTATATTGTTTAGAGCCTGTTACACTGCAGCATAAGGCCAAGAGTTTTTCATACCCTGTCCTCCAACCAACTACTTGTTCCATTTTTCAATATCCCTTTAACTTAGGTGACTATTTTAATTACTGGCAAAAAGTAATCCACCCATGTATAAATAACATCTTCATTCTAAACACTATGAAGACTATTATGAATTTGTGTCTCAACATTCAGCAATTCTATTACTTTCGTGTGGTATAGTTAAAATTTTTGAGGGGATGGGAATGTCACAGAATACTGCTGTGCCCAAAGTTGAGAATAGGAACAAAAATTTTTCAGCAACAAACAATTATCTGCAATTTCAGTTCAAAACATTTATAAGAAAATACTAACAGACAGGAAAGTAATGTATCTTTGCATAAAAAAACAAACAAGATAGGGGAATCATAAATAATCCACAACACTGGTACCCATCTATCTTGATTAATGTCTTTAGCTAGTATCTGAGACATGAACATTCATCATCCTAGCTCTTTCCTTTCCTTTGTAATATGGAATTACAAAGCCTGGGGTTTGGGTTCATGTGTGTGTAATAACACACAGTCTATGCTGCACATGGAGAGCACAGAGTGAAGAGTTTGGGTTCTATTTGCATCTATCCCACAGTAAACTCAGTTACAACACACTCGTTAGTATATGGCTTGGCTGAAAAGTTATGTCTATATGGTTATATGTTTTATGTGTTTGCAACATAGATAAGTTTTAGGGCTCAAACCAACTTTTCAGCAGATGGGGGATTTATTATTTCCTCAATAAGCAGCAATAAAAAGTGTTGAGGGGGTAGCATGCCCTCAATGAAAATTAACGCCGAGTTTCGTGTATCATCCCCATTACTATTGGACACCAACGAGGGCCCCTGAGAATCCTAAAATGAAAGCAAACAACTCCTTCATTAGACTGCACTTCACACAGGCAATCTCATACTAGTCTGGAGGAAGTACAAGAACAGCAGGAAACGCTCATCTCCATGTTTCGTGACGGAACTGAAATTTCTCTTGTGGAAGTGGCAGGACATGGGGCGGGATTTGGCATTTAGATTTTTGCTGTGACTTTATATATAGAATGAACAACATAGGAATTGGTTCCAAAGCAGGGCACGGTGATTCATCTAAGTGTGGGAGAAATGGCCCTGATACTTACAGTAGAATAGGGGTTCCCTGTGAATTGAGGGATTACGATACATGAGAGATCTCAAGGAACACTGGGCAAAAAGAAAAGATAAGGCACTGGAGTGAAAATGGAAAGCATCTAATTTATGGCCATTGAAACCTATTTCATCTTAGGAATATTTGCTACTTTAACGTTCACAACTTATTTTATTACATATTAGTTGTTTCTTTGCCACTAGACTAAGAAATCTCCATGTTTGATTTGGCAAATTTTCACTTTGCCCACAGAATCAAGCCCAGGACCCAGCAGGTGATTTTTTGAATGAAAGAATATCTGAATACATAATTCATCCAGCCCTCATGCGAGGAGAGATAAATGGGAAGTGGCCACTTCCATAAGTCAGCAATAACAAATCAGTTAAAGTTTATGGGGAAAATGCTTATGTTGAAATCCAATCATGTAAAATCTAAAGAAGACAATTCATTCAGTAGATTGTTTTTTCTTCAATGTCTTTCATCCAACCACTATGATTAATTTTGTACTATCTAAGTGGGGCCTGCGTGTGAAATTGGGCAAGTTCCTCCCCTACTTCTGACCTAGTTAACATCCTCATGGGATTCTACATTAACAGAGAGAATGCCTGGCTCCTGCCCAGTATCTTGAACATAAAATTGTTACACACAAAAGGAACCAGATGAGATGGTATAGATGCATCCATGCAAACACATCTGATGGAAAACAATTTAAGACAGTTAAGCTCCAATGTGTAATTAGTCCAAGAGGGACACATTATTACTTGCAATGAGTCTTTTTCAGAGGAGGTTGGATTCCTCAGTGGAAATGTGTTTAAGAGCAGTAACATTTTCAAGTTCAATTAGTTACCAACTGTTTTAAATATTGAATATTGGAATGGATATCAAAAATAGAATGTGGTTTGGTCATAAAGACACTAACCTAGGCTTTTATATTGTATGATTACCACGATTATTCGTTGACTTATAAATAGCATTGATTAACTAGGGATGTATCTCATCTACTGCTTCCCCCTTGACCTGCAAGTGCCAAGTTAATCAAGAGCAGGCTTACATGACAGTTGCTACAGTTCAGCTGTATCAGTGGTCGCTGGGGCTAGTCCCTTAACCCAAAATGAATCTGAATCTGTTACTCCACATAGCTATCTAGAGACATGCAGCCTCACTTGGCTCTTGCTCTGATTCCTTGGGCTCCTACTGTTAATCCACACTTCAGTTTTCTTTTCTATAAAATAGAACTGAGTATTGGTAAAACCTGTCTCTCTTGTTTCAAGTTATTGCTGAATTTTTTATTGATTGCTGGTGATACTTGAACCTCTAAGAAAAATTCTCCACAATGATAATGATTGTAATTATAACTTTCCTCTAAATCTTTTTGTTGGAAACATAATGTTATCAGAACATCTCTTAATAACATCTTCTGTATTGTGTTCCAGATAACGGTTTTAATAGAAACTAGAGCCTTTATTGCTAGATCAAACTCATTGCTGTGCATTTAACTTTGTCTCAGATCCAGTCAACTTTGGTGGAGTAAAACTGAGCCCAGAATGCTCAATACTTCATGGCTTGAGCCGTCCTTATATGAGCAAAACTGAGCAATTTCAAATGTCACTGAAACATTTCAGTTATCTTATTTAAATTGATACTCTGTTTATAGAAGTAATGTATCAATGAGAAATTCTGTTAAACTAGATTCCTAAACTTGTGTTTCAAATACAAAAGCCCCATAAATAAAACTATGAAAATCAAACCAAAACTAACTTGCTCTCTCTTTTCCATATTATGGTAAAACATTCATCTTATGAGATATATATTTAGAACAGCAACTTTCTGCTATCCACAAATTAATTATTTTAAAATTCTGAACCAACCTATTAAGCAAGTATACATTTTAAAATGCTACTTGCATGTAAGAATAGAGGGATGATTATGAAAAGCTACCAGTAATGCTTTTTTAGTTAATATTATGCCAGTTTATCAGCTCATTATCATTAATATGTTTCCAATTCCAAAAGATAGTAAGTACAAAAATAAAAAAATCAAAACCAAAATTACAATAAAGCAAGTTTCCCTAATTTGTGCTTGCCTCCCAGATTTAAAAAAAAGTGATTGTTATATGCCAAAAATGTAAAATTTATTTTAAGAAAATTAACAGGCTACACGAATAAATTTTGGCAAATGCAACTTTATATTGAAGTTCACACATCTGTATCTTAAAGAATGAGACTCACAGAATCTAATGTATTTCTAAAATACCTGAAATCATAGTATAAGCTTTCACAAGTTAAAACTCAAATAATTTAAACTACCAATACACTGAATGTGCAGAAAATATAAACAAGACTGTGCCTTCCATAGAATAAATGCTTCACAAATTGTGCAGGATGTCATACTAAGGCTGTGGTCTCCTTTTGACAGCTGACTTAAAATATAAACATACTTCAACTGCCAACTTCTCAGAACACTCTAGAATGGGTAGCACACCTCAGAAGAAAATCTCCTTGTTCCAGTGATGTGCACCTTACTTTTCGAACCATGTGAGGAAAAAGGAAAAAGAGTACCAAATGATCTTCCATGCACTTTCAGATGAATGACCATGACTGATTTGATGTCCCTTGACTATTTGCTCCAATGCTAAATAAGATGAAGGATACTAGATAACCCTTTAAGGCAACATGTGTTTATTCTGCATTATTAGAACTGCTCAGTTGTGACCAGCTGGTACCATTAATGTTGCCTCCCAGACCAGTATCTAGCATTTGTAAAATATAAGTGAATTGGAAAATCTTTATACTAAATCAACAAAAACCACAGAATACAGTCCAATGCTAGCAATTTCACTGGTAATTAAGGAAAAGTGGTATTTAGAAATAGCAATGTATTAATACAAAAAAGTAAACTCTAATTGGAACCAATATACTGCTTTGGAATGCTCCCCCAAACTTACAAGGCGATTTTTAAAGTGATATTCCAATAATTCATGGCACGTCCTTAGTGGATTACAGTACTTTAAGTCCCCAAATAGTTTAGTCTTTGCAAAAGAAAAATAGTATGAAATGTTTTAAAGTCTTCAAACTTCTAAAATTAGTTTTTATCAACACATTTACCTCATGTCAACTTAATTTATTAAGATGTCCAATGCTAATTGGTTTCTCTGATGTTTTTTCATAAGTAGTGATATACACAGCATTTAGCACTGATACTTAGCACCTGCTACTTTCATTATCTAGTTTTCAACCACAGAAAGAAACTTAGGGCAGTGGTTCAGTCCTTTCTTAATTACAAACCTTCGCCGGCAGTCAGCAGGATCACTCTGAGATTTAAAATAGGATTATAGGTGAACTATTGCAAAGACTGCAGAATGTTGCCCAAATCCTTACAACTGCTGATCCCATTCTTGAATTTCTTCTCAAAATATGGCTACAGGCCACAATTGCTTAGCAGAGAAGGTTAGTGTTTCACAAGGCTAAAGATTTACAGATGCTCCCTCATATAACACAGTAAGGTTCCCTTGGTAACCTGGATTTTCTGCAGTAAAGAAGGGTTGTGCTGAAACAGCGCCTCAGCTCCCTGTTGGAGAAAATGCAGACAAAAGGATTGATTCCTGCTTGGGCAAAACTCATCCAGACAGCGGCTGTTAGAAATCCCCCTGGTACTACAGGCCCTCTTGCAAAAACTCTCCAATAACAGGCCACCAGGTAGGGGCCCCACAAGGTTAGGAAGAGAAAAGTCATTATATAGAACATTCTGCTGATTCTTTTCTCCATTTTGAACTCGTCTAAGACCAGCAGCCTTCTTCTGCCTGTGGTGTTTGCATTTTGCCTGATGCCCAGTAAGGTGGGTGGTGTGGGACCCCTTCCAAATCCTGCTAGCCAATTGGCAGCTGCCTGGCCACTGGCTCCAGGACCATGGAAAGTCCAGTTCTGGCTGACTGCTGCTACAAACTGGACTGGCTTCATTTTCCTTCGATCATGGACAAAAAATATCAGCTTGAGGTAGACAAGCTGTGTGGCTAGGAGGATGAGGGCAAGGAGCAGCATAAATCCTAAGGAATCGTTAGCCCTGAAGGAGCGGTGTTGGAAGGTGCACTGATCTTCTTCCCTAATGAACGAGTAAGTGCCCACATCTAAAACCGGGGGGAAAGCCATGGCCACAGACAGAGTCCACACCATGCAGATCACAGCCAGACACGTCCAAAAGGTCAGTCTTTTTGTATAGAAGCGGTGATGGGCGATAGCTAAGTATCTTGTGACACTGATGCAGAAGAGCATGAAAGCAGTGTGGAAACAGGACAAAACCCCCAGAAAGGCAATCACTTTGCAAGTCAGAGTCCCATAAGTCCATGTAGAGCCATTTTTGACAGAGTTGAATACAAATGGAAAACAAATTGCAGATCTGAGGATATCTGAGCAGCAAAGATCCAGCAGGAAGTAGTAAGGTGCTCTATGCAAGGTTTTATCTTTCACTAGCAAAATGGAGATCAGAAGGTTGCCCACCACGCTGACTCCTATTATGAAACCCAAGGAAGTCAGTTTCAGAAAGGCTGTTAGAGGCGAGAGATTTTGCAAAATGTTGTCAGCTGCATGGCTATAGTTCGCCATAGATGGATGGAGGATAAGGGTACAGCCTCAGTCAAGTCTCATGATCTAGATATAAGAACAAGGAAAAGATAGATCCATACATTTTACTGAAAATGTAATCCACAAAGAGAACTGATCCGATCTGCAGTCATGCTTCCTCTTTTCTTCCATTTGATTTGCCATCCAAATATCTGGAAAAAAAATGAGCTATCAGTTCTTAAGTTAACAAGCAATGATGTCAGTGCTAACATAAAGCTGCTCATTTATGGAGAAACAAATAAAGTTTTAATTTTGAATACTATTACTTGCCTTAGTAAGTATCTTTGCCTGATAATTCAGAGAATTGGCTAGTCTTCTCAGCTAGAAGAATTAAAAAATGTCCCCTTTCTAGAGAACATACACTTGATTGGGTACCTTTAGAACAGAATGAATAAAATGTTCCACAGTTGTAAGCTATGCCAGCCCAAGAATTAATCACTAGTATTGCAAAGGAATCTACCCGATTGCTGACAGGAGACAGAGGAGGCTACCTACATTTATGTGAGGTCTGTTAGTACTGTCAGTGTTTTATAGGCAGCTTCTCTGTCCATATGGCTCCAAGGGACCCCTGCAAAATACATGTCTTTTAACTCAAGGGCCGCTGTTCATGCTGCATAAGAGTATTTGTTGATTCATCTTAAAACATAATCTCAACATTAGACTTCGAAATTAATAGGAACTTGTCCCAAGATTTGACGTGATTTAATCTTTTGTCTTTCCCTCCCAACCCCATCCCCCACTTTTGGCAAATCTTGCCTCTTTTAAGCCCACATGATTATTAGAAGTGGTTAATGTAAATATTGGTCAGGGAAACACACCCAGAGGAATAATGCACTTCCATTTGTAAGCTGTGGCTGCCTGGATGCAAATGAATATAACAGCAACCTGTATTTCTTGGGCAATTAAGCTTTTCCCATTTATACACTGCTAATCTTTGTTGCAAATCACAAGTGGCTTCATTTTAAAACGAAATGCACATTGTCTCCTAGATGCCCAGGAGCCACACCAGGGGAACCGGCTTCCTCCGTTATTACCACCAAGCGGGGTTCCTCTGCCACTTCTCACTTGCCGGGAATATGCAGATGGAAGCCCAGGCAAAACTGCGTTCGATGATTTTAATTTGCCCACCGGTACATCCCCGGGTAAATACCCACCGTCATGCAACAACATTACGAAACCCGAAATCCGCCACCCTTGGATTTATAATGGGGGTGAGGGGAGGGGGAGGGGGAGAGAGACATGCATTACATACGCGAAGATGGGGAGAGAGATTGCTTCTGTGCTGCAAGGGAAGGGTTCCCGACGACTCGCAGTCTCAGATTCCTCAGTCTTGCAAGGGTTTCCAGAAACGGAGCTCTCCATAAGCCTTACTGAAGATGCATTGTCTGAATGTACTTCCATTATGCAGTTTATTGTAAAAACAAAAAACAAAAACAAAAAAAAAACCCTCACCACTTCAAGGAGGGCTCTCTCCGGGCGAAGCTGCAGTTTCATCCACACTGCGCAAGCCCCCTCCCCCAAACTTAACCGAGAGTATAGTCTCCTACCTGTTGGTGTTGGATATCCCGACAGACTATAGCTTCTTCTTTCTATAAATTGCTGATTTTTTTTCCCTTAGTGCCTTGACTGAGCATCCAGGCAGGGCTCGGCGGCGCCTGCGCGCTGGCGGCTCCTTGAGCCCCAGCCGCGTCCTCCCCTGTCGCAGCGGCACAGTCTCCCAGGGCGGCGGCAGGGGCTGCTTCAGCCTCCTTGGTGCCAGCAGGAGCCCCTTCCCGGCACCGGCGCTGGCTGGCCCGTCTGGATGCCCCGGCCGGATTAGGCTTTCGTCCCTTGTGGCTGCTTCTGAACTTTTCCCTCCCCGCTTTTGGAACGGGGGCTCAGAAAGCCTCGTTCACGGCCCCAGGCCCATCCTCTTCCCTAGGGCAGCACCCGGAGAAGCCGCCGAACCCGATCGCCCGCCCCTCCCCGGCTTCCCGGAACCCTCATCTTCCTGGAACATGGGCTTCCTTTCTCTTTTAGGATAGTCCGAAGTATGGGAAGCTTCGTTCAGAATTCTTCCTTAATGATTTCCCTACCTTTGAATTTGCAGGTTAGTTGGGGGAGGGGGAGAGAAAAGAAAAGACCAAAAAAAAAAAAAAAAAACCCAAAAACCAAAAAACGGTAAGAAATCTTGTCAATGGGAAAGAAGGAAAGCAGGCTAGGGCAGCCCTGCCTTTGTTGGTCACCATCTGTTGTCGAATGCACGCAAATCTGCGTTTCAGTGCGTGTGTGTGGGGGGTGAGTTCAGAGGACAACTTCAAACGTGTTTTACATTCATTCTGCCCTAACGGATAGGACTAAATAGACGGGTACAAAAAATCTAAGTGGCCATTCCTCGCATTCCACCCCAGCAAGCAACAGCTCTTGTTCCCTTCTTCTGAGTTCGGCTGACCCATAGGCTGGTGATGTCAAAGCAGTTGTGTGCGAGTTTCCTTTCCCCCAAGCTTTGTTATTACAGATGGGGGAAAATACCAGCAACGAGCAGATACACAAAAGTTACACCAGTCCAAAAGATAAGATGATATCACAAACACCACATAGCCTAACACCTGGATGCTTAGAGATGTCTTTGGAATTATATATTTTCTCATTTTACCATCTCCGAAGAGTTTTGTCTGTGAAGGTGGTACAAGATTTTCAACAAACACCACCAGCTCCCCACACCCCAAAGCGAGCAGACATGCTTTCATTAATTTCCTATGTAAAGCGCTTCTTTTCCTGCAATCTTATTGCTTCATAATAATCTATTAATGAAACAGAATAAAGAAAAACCTTTTTACAGTAATGATTTGAGCTTGAGACAGCAGTAAAATACCTCATTGCTGGGTGGTGAGATTGTGACATTCAGGGGAACTCAAGCCAATCAGCATACAGATAATATAGGTTAATTTACATATTGTATTTCTATTGGAGACACCAAGGTAGAGCTTTCTCTGTTAAAGCTCCACAATGAATGCTTGTGTCCTGATGTCACAGTCCTTACACAAAGCCCAACGTTAGTAATACTGAACTAATGTTAAATTTCCCTCCTTTGATATTGGATTTTCTTTGCCCATTAAGAATGGATAATTTGTTAAAATAGAAGGAGGGGGACGAGAGAAAAAGGAATATACATAGGGACTTAACTTTGCATTCTTTTAACCTAAAAAAAAAAAAAAATCAATCAGGCAGCAATATACTTGAAGTAACTTGAGGACACTTTCATCCAAATAAAACAATTCCCTTTTTGTAAAACAAATGAACTTAGAAAAACTCCAAACTGTATAAAGTTTTCAACTTCTTTGTGAAATGGCAAATTCATTTTTATGGAACTACAAATCAATTTGTTCTTTTTTTAAAAATTCCCAATGAGTGTTCCAATGTATTTTACAAAGATCTATTATGTACTGAATTTCTACACTTAAAAACAATCTACAGAATGAGAGACAAAAATAAGTTTGCTGAAGATACATTATTAGCCAGATGTTAGATTGTATGGGTTAAGAAAAAAGCCATTTAAAAGTAAATTAAAAGGGTGACTGCACTGCTGGGCCATGAAGCAATAATTTGCTCTGCCAAAAGGTATAGGGCTAAGATCCAAGGGTTTAACCAGCCTTATGCTTTAAGAAGTAGATATTGATTCCTTAAAAAGAAGAGAAGGTTTATGTATGAAACATTCATACCCACATCTTAGAGTACTTTCTAGGTGTTTTTCCCTTTGCAGTCGAGCATAGTTATACACACTAGTTCTTCAGCCTTTCCAGCTGTTAGATGAGAATGTCATTTTCATACCTCATGAGGGGGCTCACAAAATTAATGAGTTTTTTTGCATTTACATCATTAACTGTACTGGAGAAAAACGTTGGAATCTGCATCTTCCTTCAACAGGGATTTAAAAAACTATATTGAATAGCTGACAAAAGTTTCATATTATCTGCCACTTCTCAAATTTAAACCTGCAGTTTCAAATTGTTTACATCATAGGGTTCATACCATAGTTAATTTCCTTTTTGAGTCTTTATATCACCAAACACAGAAAAATTGATTATCAGGTTTCAAATAAAGCAACAAAACAAATATAATGAAGTCCTTTTTGTCCTAATACTTGGGTTTGAAGGATTTTTAAGATCTTGGCATATTACATTTACTCTTTTGATGAGTCTATTAGGAAGACTGATGTAATTTGCTTATTTTTGTAATAAATACATATTATTTTTTAAATCAGCCACCTTTTTTTGTTTGTTTTTCTTTTCTTTTGTTTGTAGTATAGGCTGGCCTCAAACTCACAGTGATCCTCCTACCTCGGCCTCCTGTGTGTTAGGTTTACCAGCACTTTAATTATTCATTTAAAATGCATTTTCTCCTATCAAAAGCTTGTTTTAAAGCTTTAAAGACATGTCTCTTTGGAGGCCTCAACACTTACTTATATCTAAAGCTATAGAAGAGAGACTTTCATAAGTGTTTGGAAGCTATTTTGGTAGAAAAGACTCCAGTTGACCACTTTTACATGGAAACCTTTTCTTATAGCTTGTTCAAAGAAAATCACTAATCTGGGGTAAGTAACCATAGGAAAGGAGATTATACGTATACATTTGATAATGTTTTCCACATTTTACTTGCTGCAAAAAGCATCTGTTTTTAAATGACACAAAAGTAAGAAAATTTCTGGGTATCATACTGGTGAAAAAATATAATGAATTTAAAGAACTAATTACCACTGGATTTAAAAATCATACCTTGGGATCAGGGATTAATGATAATTGTGAACATCCTAAACAGTGGGATTTCAACAGAATTTTAATAAGTTTTTAAAAATTTAAAATCTGGCATGTTCTTTTTCAAAATGCTAAAATGTCCATTTGTCAGATTTTTTTCTCTCTCTCTGCACAAAATAGGTTTTAAAATGTTAATATAATTAACTTTTAATTTTAAATTTAGCATCTCTAAGATCTTCCTTCTCAATTTAAGTTCTAGGCTTTTGAAAACTCAGTGTTTTCTTTGCTGTGACTTTTATGCAGTTTCCTTCTTGCTGAAAATTTAAAAACTCATTGCCTTATTTAATTAATTTTCTAAATATTTGTTGAACCCTTATACTATGGGAGGTGCAATACTAGATCTCACAAGAAACGAAAAATCAAAGGGTGAGACTAGTTTACACTCAGTTCCATCTATGTGGGAAAATTTTTCACTGGTAGAAGTAGAGGGGATGAAATGAAACCAAAAAAAAAAAAAAAAAAAAAAAAAAAAGGTATAAGGAGCCACATTTCTTATCAAGTGGTTAGAAAGGGAAGGGAAGCAAACGAGATTAAATATTAAGAATTGACTTCAAGTTGGATAAGTAGGAGACAGAAGACACCATTAACTGGAGATAGCAAAGATTTTCGAAGGAGGTTATTTGGCAAGCAAAACAATGAGTAAATTTTAGATTACTGAGTATAAAATACTGGTAGGATTTTCAGATGTTGAGATATTATATGAGGTAGCTTCCTCATATAAAGAAAAGAACCAATTAAGAAAGTACCTATGGATAATGGTGGACCCAGGGGCAGTGACAGATGTTATTACTAAAAGATTGTTGAGAGAAAAGAAGATCGAAGTTTTAAAAAAAGTGCCATTCCACTCCATCAGCACATACAACAGCAACAGCGACACCCTATGAGCCGCTTACGTTTACAAAGCAGGAGAGATTATGAAAGAACCAGAGATGCTGAAATGGAGGGGGCACCCTTATGTCACAAGTTCTAAGGAAGAAAATTTCAAGGAGGAGTGGTCATCAGTGCGAACTGTGAAGCAAGAAGGTCGAGAAGATATCGCTGGATTTGGTGATGAGCAGATGAGCAAGGTTTCAGAAGGCAGATTCAGACAGCAAGTGGGACTGTGAGACACTAAAAGAACAAGGGAAGGACAATGTCGTAACAGCTTATAAGATTAGGCTAAGAAACTGTTTTGCTGTTAATGGTAGTGCTGTCTTGCTGATAACAATTTTAATGAATTATCTTGTTATTTTACGAACAAAATGACATTTCAATAAATAAAGCATTCCTTCTTCTGGAAGTTTTAAAAACTCTTCTTCTACTACCCATTATATGAATGTGATATTGTGAATGAGGAGAGCGCCTACAAGTTTCCTACTAATACCTGGTAAAACTTTAGAGTATAGTAAAAAGCCCTTGGTTATTGGAGGACCGCCCCCCAGCGGATCCTGATTTTCTGCTCAGTGCTATGGTGCGTGGCAAGAAGGAAGACTCAAGGACAGGGTTAAAAGGAGAAACGCAGGGAGCCAGGATGACCAGTGCTGAGCGAGCAAAGGCCCTGGCCAGCCAAAGCCATTGATATTTATTGGTGACATCATAATTCGATGACCACAAAGGCTGTTTATGCACACAAGGCTTGTAAAAGAAGAGACAAAGCATTGTTGAATTAGGAACAGCACAAACAAACTATAGTTTGTGGTTAACAAATAACCTTGTCTTCCTAATTAAGAAGGTTTTAATTTGGAGAACAGAATTTGGATGTGAGTCACTCTGACCTCGGCTGTGTGTTATCTCATATTAAGCCCCACAGCTTCACAGACCATTTCTCTGGTTTTTTCCATGGCCATTAGTGGGGGCCGGAGGGACTGATATAGGCCTGTGTGCCAATCACAGCGCCCCTGTGAGTCACATAAGCTTTGGTTGGACTCACTTCTTAAAATATGCCAATTACAGGGTTAACTCCTTTACAGCCTGCTTTGGAGATAATGAATAGGGCGGTCCCCCACACTTGGTCTGTAAAAATATCCTAAATTGTTCATTTACCGTTTTCCCCATTTTTAAAATGCAGTTAGTCTAAGCCAGGAAAAACAAGATGACCTTTATGCGAGTGTGATGTGGTGTGAGTATGTGTATGCATTTGTGTATTAATAGGTAGGGGGAGGGAAAAACTAGGTTTGGTAAAATGATTAAGGATTGAGAAATCAATTTAATATTCAGCTTAATGGAGAGCCATGCTTATCTTACATAGATTACACATTTTCAAAATATAAAAGTTCAGTGTATTTTAAGAGTTCTAGAAGTATAAGGTGTTTACCCATTGATTACTCAGAACTCATCTAAATCTTACAGTGTATTAAGTACATTATTATAAGTACCAGTTATATGACAATATGAACAGATTATGGTTATTTAAGATCTTGTGGTGTTCAGCTTTTTGACAAATGAGTACAATTAAAACATAGCTGAAAGTAAAGACTGTTACCTTAGACTCTAATTGAAGAGCCTCTCACTTTGATGGTTCAGAGCTGAATTCTGATTTTCTTAATAGTTCTTCTACCTTCACTTCTCTTAATTTTCTAAATTTTATAATTTTCCCTTTACAGTGTTATAACTTTATAAATTAGAAGCAAAGATAAAACCAACATTTATACCTCTCATAAATATGGTTACGACTTAAACCTGGCTAGCATTTGGTTGAAATGGAAATGTCTTCTCCTCTGCTGCTTAATTTGGCATTAAGAAGAACTTTATGAAAACTAAGTCATCTGGGTAGCATTATTTCATTTATCCAACAAATGGACTAGTCTCCACAAGAATTCGAGTCCTATTATTTTGTCACGGTTTTTCCCCTAGTGCCAAAGCAAAACCTGGCACATAGAAAATGCTTAGCACAATCTTGTTGAATGGGTGATTATGATCTTACTACAAAAAAGGTTAATTGTACGGGGAGCACTGGGGAGGATATAAGAGAAGGAAAAACGACACTGATACAGATTCTACACAGACTCTGCATTTTTTAAAATTAAAAAATGTTGGGATAATTATTTGTAGTGTGGGCAAAAAATTTTCTTGGCCAAGGATTTACTTTGGATTTAGGGGAGTTTTGTCTGCTTTTCAGCTTTATTAAATTAGCATTTACATGATTTCTTATTTGCCTTGCTACTTCATAGTTTTAAGGCATTTTAAATAAGTTGATGTCTCATGTAGATTATGAGCCGAGCAGATATTTATGATTTGAGTTCCTAACTTAGTGTTCAAATACATGACAGAACAACATTGGCCTTTATCTGACTTTGGACTTATCATTATTAATTTTTTAATGACAAGATGCTAGTGTCATCTATAAAACAACTAAAAATCCAATATATACTAATATATATATTAATGTAACAAGCTCAATGATATAAAAACATTTAACGATGAATAACTGTTCAAATTGACCTAAAGCTGCTTCTGTAACATAGCATGTAATCTGACTTGGTACTGTGTATAAGCAAACCTAACCCATAAATATCTTCTTGTAACAAGTTACTAAGTCTTAAAGACTGCAGCTGAGCTTTGGTCAATCACAGGCTGCCAGCTGACCAGCCCACACCTATGTCTGGCAAATGCCTCATCAGGCCATCCTTAAATAGCCAAATACGGGAGCAGATCGAGGTTTAACCAGTCAAACTATTTCTGCCAAACAGTTCCTTTTTTCTCGCTATAAAAACTACCAACCTAAATTGTTGGGTGGAGCTCTCTGAACCTGTTCTGGTTGCTACTATTGCCCAATTCACAAACTGTTCTTCGCTTAAACTCTTCTAAATTTAATTTTTGTAAAATGTTTTGCTAATAATACTTTCTGCTCTGATTTTGCCCATAGATGTAGATTATTCATAATTATCTATAGGACAAAAGAAGTATTGAAATGGAAACTTACCATTTAGCCTGTTGGAAAAAAGACTTTTGAAAGATGATAATATTCTTAAATGATAATCAGAATAATTCTCTCTTGCAATTTCTGCCTTCTTTTTAAAAGATTCTTTTTCCTTCTTTACCTGGCATAAATGAGAGCTTAATGTAAGAAGTTCGTCTATAAAATAGTGCTGATTCATCTTCTTAACTGAGTACAATAAAAATCTACCAGCCAAATCACTCTTTAAGTTTTCCTGGCTTGAACTAAGGCCAGAGCTCATGGTAAAGTTCATAATCTCTGAGCAAGGATGCATAGGACACATTTCCAACAATTCAAACACAAAGAAGCGACTCATTTTTAAATGTTATAACAACTAGGGCTGGGATTTATTTTTTCACTGCATAGAATTTGGTTGGGATTGCCTTTTCCCTTTATTTGAGCTAGAACCACAGAATCCTTTATTGACAGTTTGCTTATGATTTATAGTAGCTGTTTTCTGGCATAGCTATAGTTAATGGGTCATTAATCATTTCTATGGGGTATAAGGAATACTGCTGCATGCATTATGAAAAATGTCTCTTATTTATAGAGATTCAAAATATTAAATGTCTTGCATTCATAAACTGTACTATCTGTATTCCTAGGTGTTAGTCGCTTTGTGGATGTCTCTGTACTGCAGGAGTGGCAAGATGAACAGGTTTAGGAGGTGGAAGTAGGAATGGTCATATGCTTAGAGTTCTGATATTTAAAGCATTTTTTGCCTATGATTTTCCTAACATTTAATCCCAATGAAGACTATAGAATAGAGCTATTATTCTAATGTTTTCAGAACTACTTTCTTGTTGTTAGAACAAACAATCAAGGAAAGTTGGAGTACAGATCAATATTAGACATACATCTCTCGAATGACCAGTGATGTGGAACATTTTTTCATATATTTACTTGCTGCTTTTACTTCTTTGAGAAATGTCTGTTCATTTCAGATGTCCATTTTTGAATTGAGTCTTGATATTGGGGGGGTGATAGTTTGGAGTTCTTTATATATTCTAGATAATAGTCCTTTGTCTGAGGAGCAGCTGGTAAAAATTTTTTCCCACATTGTAGGTTGTCTAGTTCTGTTGATGGTTTCTTTTGTAGTGCAGAAGCGTCTTAATAAGATAAGATCCCACACTAAGATTCCACCGCACCCCACAAAGAATGGCTGCTATCAAGAAATCAACGAATAACAAATGTTGGTGGGGTTGTGGGGAGAAAGGAACCCTTCTCCATTGTAGGTAGGAGTGCAGACTGGTGCAACCACTATGGAAATCAGTATGGAGATACCTCAAAGAGCTGGGATTAGAGGTTCCATTTGACCCAGCCATCCCTCTGCTGGGCATCTTTCCAAAAGAATTAAAAGAATCATATCACAGTCATATGTGCACACCTAAGTTTATAGTGGCTCAGTTCGTAATAGCTAAAACTTGGAAACAGCCCATTTGCCCATCAGTTGGAGACTGGATAAAGATGTGATTTTTCTATAAAATGGAATACTACTCAGCCATAAAGAATGAGAAATTAGATTCATTCATAGGAAAATGGGTACATATTGAGGATATACTCCTAAGTGAAATAAATAAGTCACACATGTGTAAATACCAAGTAGTCTCTCTGGTGTGAAAAATTATAATTGTACATAAGATCCTAATAATATAATTGACAATGTTAAATAGGAAGAAAGGGGCTAAAGGTGTAGGGAAAGTGGGAAGGGTAGGGGAAAGGAAATAAGGGAAAAGACAAAAATAGGAATGCAAAAATGGCAATAAAGTGTTTGTAAATGGGGAGGGGAGGAGGGGATGAAAGGAGGGCAGGGACAAGGGGAAAAACAGGTAAACAATTTCCTCTGGTAAGCATTGTGATTGGGGAAATTTCTGTTTTGTTTTGCTTTTTTCTTTCCATTAAATTTTTTGGTACATCTTACGTATATGTATACGTTCATCATTGGGAATTTGTACCTGTACATGTTATATATTGGTTCTTGTTTTTTCCCACTCCCCTTTTCCCCTCTTCCACCCCTCCACCCCTCTCTATTTACAAAAGCTTTGTTTCCTTCTTTTCCTTCTTTTCTCATTATTTTTTCTTTCTCTTCTTTCCTTTTCCCCACACTCCTTCCCTACTTCTTCCTCTTTGAACCTTTTCTTCCTACTTTACATTTTCTATTGAACATTTTGGTCCTCATTTACACTTTCAGTTTCTCACACCAGAGAAACAATTCGATATTTATCTATGAGTGTGCAATTTATTTCATTTAAGAGTATGGCCTCATTGTGCATCTGTTCAGCTATAACTGTTTCTAATTTATCATTCTTTATTGCTGAGTAGCACTTCTTTAGGCCCTATGGGATTGTGGATGCATTTCCATGATTAATATTATTGTGTTCTACTTGTAGAAAACTGTGAGTCTTTGTAAGCTCCAAATCTTTTCTAACACGTTACTACTAAGGGATCCACAGGTCTCTTGAATTTCTTTCATAGTAGATATAATCAGTTAATTAAAAGCAGTTACTCAATCATATAAAAGTAAAAATTCCTTCTCAATCAGGCATTCACTAGCTCAAGTATACCTTGAATGCAGTACAGATGTACATACTGCTCAGCATTATATAAAACACCTTAACATACATTGACTTTTACACTCAAAATATTTATCAGCAGACAAAAGCTGGGTTGATCCATTGACTAGCATAGGGAGTGTTTCTACTATACCTGCAGGCACTTTAACGTTCAGTCTCTTCCACCGAAACAAAATGGCACATCACCTAATCTATTCAACCCCTTAAAATTTAGTAAGTTCTAAAGTTTGATTTTACAATAACCTTATGAAAAATATATGTTAAAAAATCACAATTTTAGATTGGGGCTCTTTAGGACTTCACTTTCCAGTTAAGAGCACCCCCCCATTCATGCACTGTTAATTGTAAATTCTAATGGGAACTATGCACATAAATCCTTGACACTTGGTTGAAAGACTAGGTATCCTGCAGAGACAGCACTTTTCTATGTAGTCTATTTGTAATCCACTCTATAAATGGATTGTTTCTTGTGCCACCTGGCATCAAATACATGAGATTCTTTCTGGGTTTCATGTAGTCTTACTACTGTACTATAGAAGAGCATATAAAAATTGGCATTTGGCCAATGGACTGAATTTTTGATTTTACACCTCAGTGATGATTTAGTAAAAACTCAAGAAAGTTGCATACCAACGTCATCTTCAAAGTACATACATATGCATACGCTCAACATTTAACTTGCTCTCTGAATAATTACGATATTGCACAGCCCCATGTAGGCAAGAACTTTATCTACAGATTGTGTCACTTGTGCCTAGAATAGTGTCTTGCACATGGTGGGCACTCAGTAATAGTGGAATAAGTGAATTAATGCTTGCATTGTTTTAATCAACTCAATTAATAATTAAAATATTGTTTCACATCTGTTTTTCCTAATTTATCTTCACATGTATATAGTATTTTGAAAATAAAATAAGGGATAACTTCCTCCTCCCAGGAATTGTATCACCTATTATGTTTTGTTTTGCTTTTTTCTTTCCATTAAATTTTTTGGTACATCTTACGTATATGTATACGTTCATCATTGGGAATTTGTACCTGTACATGTTATATTTTGGTTCTTGTTTTTTCCCACTCCCCTTTTCCCCTCTTCCACCCCTCCACCCCTCTCTATTTACAAAAGCTTTGTTTCCTTCTTTTCCTTCTTTTCTCATTATTTTTTCTTTCTCTTCTTTCCTTTTCCCCACACTCCTTCCCTACTTCTTCCTCTTTGAACCTTTTCTTCCTACTTTACATTTTCTATTGAACATTTTGGTCCTCATTTACACTTTCAGTTTCTCACACCAGAGAAACAATTCGATATTTATCTATGAGTGTGCAATTTATTTCATTTAAGAGTATGGCCTCATTGTGCATCTGTTCAGCTATAACTGTTTCTAATTTATCATTCTTTATTGCTGAGTAGCACTTCTTTAGGCCCTATGGGATTGTGGATGCATTTCCATGATTAATATTATTGTGTTCTACTTGTAGAAAACTGTGAGTCTTTGTAAGCTCCAAATCTTTTCTAACACGTTACTACTAAGGGATCCACAGGTCTCTTGAATTTCTTTCATAGTAGATATAATCAGTTAATTAAAAGCAGTTACTCAATCATATAAAAGTAAAAATTCCTTCTCAATCAGGCATTCACTAGCTCAAGTATACCTTGAATGCAGTACAGATGTACATACTGCTCAGCATTATATAAAACACCTTAACATACATTGACTTTTACACTCAAAATATTTATCAGCAGACAAAAGCTGGGTTGATCCATTGACTAGCATAGGGAGTGTTTCTACTATACCTGCAGGCACTTTAACGTTCAGTCTCTTCCACCGAAACAAAATGGCACATCACCTAATCTATTCAACCCCTTAAAATTTAGTAAGTTCTAAAGTTTGATTTTACAATAACCTTATGAAAAATATATGTTAAAAAATCACAATTTTAGATTGGGGCTCTTTAGGACTTCACTTTCCAGTTAAGAGCACCCCCCCATTCATGCACTGTTAATTGTAAATTCTAATGGGAACTATGCACATAAATCCTTGACACTTGGTTGAAAGACTAGGTATCCTGCAGAGACAGCACTTTTCTATGTAGTCTATTTGTAATCCACTCTATAAATGGATTGTTTCTTGTGCCACCTGGCATCAAATACATGAGATTCTTTCTGGGTTTCATGTAGTCTTACTACTGTACTATAGAAGAGCATATAAAAATTGGCATTTGGCCAATGGACTGAATTTTTGATTTTACACCTCAGTGATGATTTAGTAAAAACTCAAGAAAGTTGCATACCAACGTCATCTTCAAAGTACATACATATGCATACGCTCAACATTTAACTTGCTCTCTGAATAATTACGATATTGCACAGCCCCATGTAGGCAAGAACTTTATCTACAGATTGTGTCACTTGTGCCTAGAATAGTGTCTTGCACATGGTGGGCACTCAGTAATAGTGGAATAAGTGAATTAATGCTTGCATTGTTTTAATCAACTCAATTAATAATTAAAATATTGTTTCACATCTGTTTTTCCTAATTTATCTTCACATGTATATAGTATTTTGAAAATAAAATAAGGGATAACTTCCTCCTCCCAGGAATTGTATCACCTATTATGGCTAAAATAATTTTCTTATAATATGTATAAAAATTTCTAAAATAAAATATATTACAGAAAGCCCTCTCAACATAAAACTTAGTATTAAATTGTTGAGACATAAAATCTCATACCCATGTGCATGCATGAAATTGGCATCCATCTTCAGCTTTTCTGGCTTTTTACTGAAACTTCACTGTGAATATGGTCTGTAACCTACTGACACTTTAGGGTGAAGGGATGTGAAAGCTGAACCTCTATTTTTTCTGGCATGAATTGAACTTTGTAATGATCATCAGGGTTGACTAGAATTAGTAAATTTCAGGGCCAAAGATAATATTTGCCTAGCTTTTATGACTTATAAATTAATTTTAGGTATTACTTCTTTGTATTCGAACCCTATCCTATGAAATAAGCATAACTAAGCTTTCAGTTTAATAAAAACCAAGTTGAAAACTATGTATTAATAAAGAAGAGTCCCTGATTTATGGTAGTTTGACTCACGATTTTTTGATTTTATGGAGGTACAAAAGTAATATACATTCAGTAGAAATTATACCTTGAATTTTGATCTTCCCCTGGGCTGGTCATGGGTGACTGTTGAGATGCTGGGTGGTACCAGTGAGCTGCAGCTCCTAGTCAGTCATGCGGTCATCAGAGTAAGCAAATGATGGTCTCGAGTGCACAGCACTCTATCAGAATGGTAGGTGGATTACTAAATTTTTATTTACAATAATTCAAATATTTTCATTTCAATATTCGGATATATTCAAAACAATATTTTCAATATTTGAATGGTTTATCATGATGTATTTCCACTGTAAGTTGTGGAGTTCTTGTTGTTACACAGTGCCAACAATGTGACAAGTTTTGTTTTTTGCATTCATGAAAATATTTGGTTTGTAGGAAACCTTGTAAGTTATGTTCCATGATTCCGTTTTATCGATGAGAAAATCCATTTTACTTGAGGTACAGAGAGATGTAGTGATTTGCTAAGATGGATGGGAAATTTGGGATTTGTGCTAAGCGGCTAAAAGGTGGTAAACCAGATCTTGATTTAAGTTTATCTGAAATAGATCGTTTGTACTTCCAGTATGCCATAGTGCTTATAGGATCTGACCCAGTGCTGTTGGTAGATATTTAACATGAACCATGTATGTAATTTTAAATACTATAATTGAATACAAAATTTGACATTGTAATACAAACATTGAAATGGATAAAAGTAATTTAACATATTTTACTTGAACCGATGTAATGAAATTTTTATCATGCCAATATATAATCAGTATGAAAGTATTAAAGAGATATTTTTACTAGGTCTTTAAAATCCAGTGTGCCTTTTATGAGATTTATAACGCATTTTCATTCAAACTAACTACATTTCCAATTCTCAAACCAACTCTATACCATCAAGTCTGAAGTTTTTTGGGTATAGATAAGAATAATATGATCTAGGAAGTAAATGGCTGCAGTCTGGAATAAAGCAGCTGCATGAAAGTGAAGTTGGTTACCAGACTTGAAGAGAAAAATAAGCTTCCAAGTCCGGAGCCTGGGTTAAGTTCACAGCAGGCCTGCTCTGTCAGGCGTGGCTCTTCTCACCAGCCTGTCCCCTCCAGACCTGTCCACAACTCACTGCCCTGCGTTGCATCTTTTGCACTACAAAGACCAAAGCCACTAGTTTCACTTGTAATTGGAATAAACATTAAAACTATGTGTTTACTTACTTTTGCCGTGTTGCATGAAATATGAAGAAAAAGCCAAAGTGTTCAAAATGCTAGGGAACACAGAAGCCCAGAAACTCTCACCATTTGTAGATTTTCTGTGTTGACCTACAAAAGGGCTGCAGAAAGCAAATTACCATACCGTGTTTTAGTTTGGTAAGAAGGTTGGGATCCTACAAACGTCTGAACATTCTCCAACTGCATTACAGAAACTCTGGATCCTTATAGGTTTATCCTCCTGTTGCCTTTCAGAAAACTCAGAATAATTCCTAAGTTTTTACCTTAGATTCATTGAAACCCTTCACATTGCTACAACCAGAATTGATGTACGATGCATTTAAGTAGAAGTCTAATTTAAGAATTTCTTTCTTTAATATTATGTTTATAACAGTGTTGCTAGAGTATATAGAATTTGAATTTTAGAGCAGGAAGTATCTCACAGGATAAGTATCTTATCTAACTGTTTTTTGAAAAAATGTTTAAGGTAGCACAGTCTTTTCTGCAGACTGATAATATTTTGAAATTACATATAAAACAAGTAACACTGGAGCTGCTGGGACTGAAGGAGAAACGGAGGTGGGGGCTAGAGCCAAGGTCTTTTGATCTTTTATTGTTTCATTTGGTAGCTGCTGAGGTTTCTCTACAGAACTGAGGTATCTAATTATCACAGTTGTAAAACACTGATTTAGTACCTGTGGTTTGTTCTCCTTTCCAGGTTGATGATAGCCAGAGACTTTCATAACTCTGAGACACCTGAGCATATAAGAATTTGTCCCGGCATGAGTACTAAAGAACAGTCAATGAAATAATTACTGTACAGAGAAGGAACCAAGGGAGGTCAGAATTGCAGGCTGGGTTTTGTGTTAGAACAAGTTTAAGGTTGGTTGGCTAGGAGTTTGATGGTCACACACAAAGAAATCTGACAAGGAGTTTAATTTTGACAAAAGATAAGTTTAATTTTAGCAAATAATATGAGTGAAGAACCAGTCATTCACATAGCATCATCTACAAGGACTAGCTGATCTTAAATGCAAATTTGGAAAAAGTCACAACTGGCGTATAGAAGTGTTTCATAGTGGAAGGGCTAGAATCACATTATTAGAAGAGTAGTTTAGAGACATATAAATTCTCTAAGAGAGAGAGTATGGGAGTAAGAGAAGGTCAAAGTCCAAGATTTGAGGATTGAATTAACTTTAAATCATCACAAAAGCAAGAAAAACCAGTTACACAGAAAATAAAGAATTAGTAGAGAAGTAGAAGGAAAATAATCCAAACATCCTCAGTCATTTCCCTTTAACAAAACTCCTTTAAAAAAAAACTCCTTTGACAAAACCACCACCATCTTTCCCTAAAGCCACTGCTGTAGCCTCTGAATGGGTCTCTGTCTAGTATCCTTGCCAATCTGTAGATTACCCTACAAAGCACGATGATTCATTTAAAACATCAAATTAGAGCAAATTTTGTCTGAAGCTTCTCAGGATTCTCAAAATAGTTAAAGTCTTTGCCATGATTTTCCCAATCTGGTCTTTGGGTAACATTCCGAACTGATCTACATCAGTAGCTTCCTTACTATTCACTGCTCTTTTCACACATTAAGCATAGACTATTTCAGGACCTGTTCTTCTCTGTGTGTACGTGCTTCCTTTAGCTAAACACATAGATCTCTCTGCATGTATCACCTGATCATACCACCTCTCTGAGCACCGTGTGTAAAAAAGCATCCCTTCACACCCATCCCTTCCTGTTTTTTTATGGCACTTTATTGGTCTCAGTATCACTATTAATCATCACGTTATTTTTTAAACAAATGTCTTGCCCACACATATGGAAGTTTGACATTGAATAGGCACTTAATAGATACACATTGTGAAAATGAGTAAGAGGATGTAATAGTAAAGACAAAAGGAGCACGTGGTTCCACGAAGGTAATCAAGAGTCAAACACTTGAGAAAGACCGCAAAGGAAATGAATTAGGGAAAGGCCATTTGAGTGGACTTTAGGTCACCAACATTCTTTTAACAGAAAAAGGCAGTAGTGTTTCGGATTTATTCACATTTGTTTCTCAGTAATTCCCTAGATGTGTTCCTGTACTTTCAATGACAAATAATATATCACACTTTTTGTATTCATGAATACATTTTTCCTTCTATACAGTAAGTACCTGGAAAACTGTATTGTGACTTTTGTATCTGTATCCTCATTTAGTACAGTAACAAAGCTAAATAAATGAGTAAGGATGAATGAAGTAAAAGGAAAGAGAACGGATGAATAGTATTATGGTTTGTGTTTAGATGGCCCCCAAAGCCTCATGGGGATGAGGTGGGACTTTCTTTTTCAGAGGTAGTTGAATCTGCAATGTGTGATTACTAAATCATGACACGAGTGATTAGTTTGTCACCACCCTAATCCTGGTAGTCTGAATAAGATAAAAGGGGCAGAAAGATGCTGTTAAAGTCCCTTGTTGAGTTTACTACCTTGTGCACACCATGTTGTTTCTCCTCTGCGATGTCCGTTTGCCATCTTTGTGTTGGCACCATCCGACTATGGACGGAAACCTCTATGAACCGCAAGCCAAATAAACTCCTTCCCCTTTAGCTTTGGGTGTCCAGAGAAAAAGAACTAACACAGTAGTAAATGTAAAAAATGTGGGTATAGCACAGTTAAAGGAAAGAAAACTGGAAAATGGCTTAACTGGATGATAGGAGAAGTAATGAATGTCCTTTGCTCTTCCCAAGCTTATGCATATAAGAAAGAGAAGGATCCACAGGCTGTGGAGACAGCCTTGCTTTCAATCTAGCTCCAAAAATATTAGCTATGTCATAATGGAAGAAATTACATCTTCTTTGTGCTTGCATTTTCCATAGATACCGTGGAGAAAAGTAGTACCTAACTCACTAGTTTATGATAGGGATTAAAAGAGAAAATTGTGGCCGGGCGTGGTTCCAACTAGCTTGTAATAATCCAGCCCTTGGGAGGCTGAGGCAGGAGGATTGCTGTGAGTTGAGACCAGCCTGGGCTACATAATGAGTTCCTGGTCAGTCTCAACTATACAGTGAGACCCTGTCTCAAAAAATTAAAAGAGAGAGAGAGAGAGAGAGAGGGAGAGAGAGAATTGTTTATACATCACGGCACAATGTTTTTACCTAATAAATGTCCCAGAAATGTTATTATCATCACAAAATCAGAAAAACTCTTCTGTGTGAGTGTGTGTATTTTGGAACTGTGAGGTTGAGGAAGGTGGGCTAACAAAGTTCTGAATGACATAAGATAGTGGTCTTACAACAGAATATCATAGCAGGGATGGCTTAAACAACAAGCATTTATCTCTCATAGTTGTATAGACTAAGAAGTCCAAGATCAGGATGCAGGGGATCTTCTTCCTAATTTATAGAGGTCCTCTTGTGTTCCCACATGGTAGAGAGGAGAGGAGGTGGGGGGATAGACGAAAGGTTAAGGGGGGAGAGAGGGAAAGAGAGGAGGGAGAGGAGAGGGAGAAATAGAAAGGACAGGGAGTGGGGGGAGAGAGAGCACAAAAATGATGCTGTCTTTGCTTTCTATAAGGATTCTAATCACATTCACAAAGACTCCATCTTTATGAATTTCAGGAGAAAATGAACATTTAGTCCAGATCAAGGGTTCCAGGTGTGGAAGGGAATATCCTTCCGGGAAGTGTGGGACTATTTCAGAAGTTAAAGGTAGAGAACAGCAAGCCTTAGGCAGCGTCTCTCATTCCAAGCAGGGAAGGAGACAGGTCTTATTTTACCTTTAGACCTATTCTGTCCCCACTTGACTCTTAATTTCAGTAAAACTTTATCGTGCCCCATAAATTCTTATTTAAATGAACTAACTTATTGAGGATAGGAGTTGAGGCATTGAAGAGAGAGGGGGAATTGTTAGTCTCAAAGGAGATACGTTAGGTAAATTTTGAAAGGATTAGGTAGGCGGCACGTTAAAGCTGGCATGGATGGGGTTTAACTGGACATAGTACAGCTTTTGTTTGTTTGTTTGTTTTTTTCTTGTTTTTAACCACAAATAAGAGCAAAAGTGAAAGTTCACTTCATCTATGTAATTCTTTATTGTAGTAAAATATCTTGACAATGACTGGAGATTCTCTTTAATAAAATAATAGCTCCCTTCTTCCCTCCTTTCTTTTCCTCCTTTCTTTCCTTCTGTTATGGTTTGGGCCTAAATCTAGAGTGTCTGATGCTGAGATTAAGGGTGTGTGATTGCTAAATCTGTTCACTGATTGGTCTGCCACTGCCCTAATCCTAGTAGCCTCAATACAATATAAGGGACAGAAAGGCCCTTGTCTTCTCCCTTGCAGTTTGCCATCTTCTGCTGCCATGAAGTGCTGCCCCTCTGCCATGTGCCACCCTGCCATGGAGCCAGGTGATTATGGACTGAGACTTCTACATAGGGTGAACTAAATAAACCTTTCCTCCTGTAACCTAGGTGTTGGGAATTTTGTTTCAGCAAATGTGTGTTATTTTTCTGTCATTGCTGAGACAAAATACTCAACACCCAAAGTTAGACGTGAAGGGCTTTGTTTGGCTCACAGTTCCTAGAGTTTTCAGTCCAAGGTAGGGATGGCAAACAGCCACTGCAGAGGAGAAACGATGTGGTGTGCACAAGGTAGGAGAGGCAGCAAGAGCTTCACCTTGCCTTTCTCACTCTTTTATCCCATCGGGACTACCAGGATTAGGGTGGTGCTAAACCATTCACTCACACATGGTGGTTCAGTAATCACATGCCCTGAATCACAGCATCACACATTCCAGATTCAGCTACCTTTGACCGAATGAGGCTTTGGGGAGGATGCAGGCCAAAACCGTAACACACACCTTCATTTGTTAGAGTACTGTCATTTGAGAACATTGAGGTCCACAAGGGGAGGAGAGCCTCTTCTTTGGAGTATAAGTGTTGACATTTACTTAAAAAAAAAAAACCTATAGCAATAATTTTATATAAGCATTATGTAGAAAAATAACACATACACAACCTGGAGCTATGTTATGCTATAGAAGATTATTTATTTTTTTCCTATGAAATCCTTGCTATTTAAACCATTTGGGCTTTCTCTAGGGACAGAGTTCTTGAATCAGATACTCATTATCTATTGTTAGTTTATCTCGAATATTCGAGAATAATGCAAGACCAAAAATGCATGTTTGCTTTTAAGATTATTGCTATTAGGCTGTCATCATTACTTTAATGGATTATAAAGCAAAGCTTTAACCTTCTGTTAAGTAGGACCAATCTTCAATCCAGCACAATTACATACTTT